CTGTCATAAATCTTCTGGCCTTCCAGTCTGAGCCAATCTTGTACCAGTATACACTTTCTTTCTTCAGATGTGTTGACGAGGCTTCCTTTGAAGATATATCCACACTTTTTCTTGAATGCTTTTAACGCTTCAAGGCAATTTTCTTGGTGAGCATTGAGCTTTGGTTGCTCAAAGTTCATAATATTTCCAGAGAAATGAGCAGCAGGATTTTGAGCAGGAGCACCCTCAGCTTCTTCGTCAACCATCTTTCACAACAGCAGTAATGAATAGATGTGGAAATTATCAGAATTCCTCACTCTCGCCAAAAGTAGATGAAGAAAATTCGCTTAGAATAATCGATGTTCACCTCACTATGTCAGTTTTGGAAGACTTTGGTGCGAACTGGTTTGGAGACTGTTTTCGCAGAAATGTTCACAGATTTCCCTCCTGGATCCTCCAAGTAGGGTTCACAGTAGAATAGAAGTAGTTCAGTAGTAACTTCGTTATTTTCTTCACTCCTGGTACCATGTTATTGCGAGGAAGAGACGACCATACATAAGCTCAACTCAACATCTTTTAATGTTCACCTCATGGTCTTGACATAGATCCCATAATACTTTACTAGTGTTCAATCTCCTAACAACATGCTTTGAAGTATCTGTACCATGATTTGTTTTTGCAAATTTGGAAGGTTGACTAACATCTACAGACTTTGCCTTACTAATAAAAACTCACAGTTTTTTTCTATTTCTTAAAATGAACAATTGGTCCTCTCTCAGAATACCTTTCCAAACAGTCAGTCACTGCTGACAACAACAACAACTGTGCTTCCAAAGCCTGGCTATGCCCCTATCTGTAACAGTTTTGGGAGGTGTTATTAAAATATAACTCTCCAATTTCATCTTCATTTCTGAACAAATTTTGCCTCAAACCTCAATCTTTTACATTAAATGTCTGATTTACAATAAACATAAAAATCTACCCATTTACAACCAGTCAACATCTGTCCCATGACTGGGTAATAATAGCTGTGTTTTTTGAGTTTGTAGAGTGCATTTAGACATCAAAGATATTTTAGCCTCAAAATTGGATTACTGAGAGTGTACTAGACTTGGAGCAGACCCAGGGATTGATATTTCATGGATTAGGGCCAAGTCGCACAAGAGGACAATTTCAGATTTGTCCAGGACAAATCTGACTTGAAATCAGCCAGTGACAAAAAATTTGTCCGGAAAGCTACAGTCGCACTTGAGAACAAAATCTGTGAACAAAACATCACACCATGCTGTGAGCGTCACGCAATTTCCCGTGAAGCAGCCTTTACCCGCTGTTTCAATCCACAAACCGCAGCACGAGGGATCTCAAAATGTTTCCACGAAGAATTCTAGCAATAATATTTTTCTTCTATTTTCTGGTTCTTCATCAGCAAGCAAATATCAATATCAAATTAATGATATGTTGTCTGTTATTAATGCAGAATTTACGTGCACAAAACATTCTAGTGACATGATGTATTCGCCGACAACGAAATCGTTATCGAAGACGAGCACCATACTATTGGACTCTTCCTCGTCCAGTCGAACCGTGGTTCGAGATCCATTATACTGATCGAACAATACCTGGGGACTACTTTCGAAGGCTCTTACGAATGAATAGAGAAAGCTTTGATTTGTTGCTCAACGTAATTCGTAACCGGCTGACGAGACAGAGTACAGTTCTGCGAAATTGCCTCACTCCTGAAAAGGTCCTTGCTTGTGGTTTGCTTCGCCTTGCACACAGAAATTCATACGAAACAATAGGACCTGCGCTAAACGTCGGCAGAACTACAGCAATAGAGGCTTGTCAAGACGTGGTTGAGGCTCTTTATGACTTAAGGAATGAGTACATCGAATTCCCAACAACAGTGGCCGAGACAATGAGGTGTATAGAGACATTTACGGACAAATCACGACTTCCAAACATTGTTGGGGCCATAGATGGCACTCATATCAAAATAGTTCCTCCTAGAGACAGTGCTGTTGATTATTTTAGTCGAAATCAGCAACATGATTTCATTATTCAGGCCGTTGCTGACGGTAAGGGATTATTTCTTGACTTTGCAGCGGGTTATCCGGGAAGTATCCACGACGCTAGGGTATATCAAAACAGCTTGCTTTATCTAAGAGCAAGCAACGGAGATCTACTCAAGGAACCCGTTGAAAGAATCAGCATCACAGATATTCAGCCTTACCTGGTAGGAGACAGCGCATACCCTATTTCCCCCTGGCTTATGAAGCCTTATCCTGAAGCGACGCGTGACCCTGGCGAGATAACATTTAACAAGGAACTGTCGTCTGCACGAGTAACCATCGAGTGCGCTTTTGGCTGCCTCAAAAGTCGTTGGCGAATTCTACAAAAGCGGTTGGATAGCAGAATAACTTTTTCTGTGAAGATTGCCATTGCTTGTGCAGTGCTGCATAACTTTTGCATTAAAATCGAGGACGAATGGGAGGATGATATTTACGATGACGATGATGACCACGGAAACGAACAGAACAATGACTTAATGCAGGACGGGGAAGATATAAGAGAGTTGCTAAAAAACAGTCTATGATTCTTCAAATCCCTTTTTTTAATTACTTAATCCTTCGAACTTAAACTTATACTGTATTTGATATTTCACAAAGAAAATAGAAGAAAATCAACGACAAAATACTATAAAAATATTGCATTGTAATTTGTGCTCAACATGTGATTGTTGAATCGTAAGAAACGATTTCCATCACCGTATTGAATTTTCCTGCAATTTTACAGACATTTATTCAGATTTTTAAAGAGAAGTGTGCGATAAAGATAATTTTTGCATTTACAACAAGAAATCAGTTCAAGCAGTACATTCATTTGTTTCCATAATTTCGTTTGATCAATTCGCAACATAAACAATAACATGTCTTTTGATAATGGTCGATAATGATTGTCTCCCAATAGTCCAAAACAGTCTTGAATTAAAGTTCAGTTGTCTTTCTCATTCTGTTGGCGAAGGATTTTCACAATGGAGCCCATAAATTGGTTCATCATGGCTAGCTGCTGCGTCTGTGATTGTTGCAAAGAATCCATAAATGCTGTAACTTTCTCCCTCTGCTGCCTCATATCCTTTAGAGCCATCTTGAACTCTTCGTCGCTGTCATTATCAGGAGCTTTGCGTTTCGAAGCTCGTTTCCCTTTGACGCTCTTCTCTTTTCAGCTGGAGTTTGTAGCACATTGGGGCTAGATGAAGTACTGTTCTCGCCAGTAGTATCACTTGATTCAGCTACAACTTGGGGGGCACTTTTGCCGCTGATCCCTGCTTCGGCTACATTATTGAAGGTTACTAGGTCGCAGCATCCAAGGATCTTATCGACCTCATCGTAGTAGACAGATTTCCTAAGGTTTCCTCCTGTTTGGTTTTTGTTCCAATCTTTTGCATTCTTGTATCTTTCTATGATGTACTTCATTTTCCGAATACATTTGTCGGCCGTCTTGTTGGACTGTAGCGCTTTCGAAATCTTCTCAGCGATCCAGGCCCACGTTTTCCTGCACTCTCTGCTTTCCAACTGATCGTGTTTTTCAGCCCATAGTTGGACTAACAGTTTTTTCTCATCTTTAGTCCATCGTTCCTGGGCCTTCTTGTTCTCGGAATATGTACGGCGCGAAGAAGTTTGGGATGATTCCGGCATTGAGCCGTCTTCGACGAACGGAAAGGATTCTGACAACGAGCCAGAACTTGCGGTTGAAGGAGATGGGCTTGCAGTTCCTCGATCATTAAAATTGTAAGTGCTAGGCAACGCATATATCCATCCTGGTGGATATTGAGGATATTGTTGCCCCATTTCATACGGAAAGTATTGGTTGCCCGTGCCTGGATTCATGTTGTTGCGAAATGAGAACGTGACCAATTTTGCCGCAAAGTCTATAGCATAGAGACTCTGCTACATACCACCTGTCCAATCATTTCCGAATTAAAACACCCTCGCTATTGTTTTCCAAAATTTGTCTCAATTTGGCCTGCTCCAGAGGTAGTCGACGGCATCTTTGAAGTTTGTCCGCCCGCGACCAAATTTTGTCCTTTGGTGAACAAACCAGTCGCACTTGGTTTTTCATTGTGATGACAGATTTTTGACATAAATGAACAGTTTTGTCCTCTAGTGTGACTTGGCCCTTATACATTCTTTGATCTGGAGAGGACGCCCTCACAAGGAGGTTTGATGACAGTTCCAGCAGGGTAAACATTACATTCCCCATTGTCAGCATGTGCAGCTACTGTGTCTTCCTCTATGTCTATCCCATACCTCATGGCTACAGTCCGAATGGTCTTCTTCAGCTGCTTGGCTGCCAGCAATTCGAAATCACCTTTTCATGTACAATCCTCTTTGGATTGTCCTCTCAAAGGATAACCTATGTGCCTTCATTTCATGCCACTTCTGTGTGTCAGCCTGTTCTTGGGTTTCCTCCTCATACAAATGAGGCAAGAGTTTTCAGTGTGGACAAATTTTAGGAGTTGGATGAAGATGTCAACATCTAAACTGGGTTCCCAGGCAGGTTTACTTATAATTATTTAACAGTATGACATATGATCCTACCTTTCTCCATAGGGCTTTTGTCCAGTGGAATGAACACCCTTTAAGCTGCACATCTGGGAGGTTCTGGCAGAGAGCACTTCAGACAGCTTTTTTGAAATCCAGCATTACTTTAGTGACTCTCAGTGGATGAGGGAGGATGGATGTAATGGCATCAAGGACTGCTTTGTAGTCTTACTATTTTTTGCCAGACATTATGATGAAAAGCAGAGGCACCTGCTTCACATGATCATTGTCCTTTACAAAGGCGTTTAGGGTCAGCAGCTGAGTAAATGGCTTTCAGCACAGTTTGAAAGTTCCGCCTATCTACCACATCTTAGACTGTTGGAGCATTTCCAGTTTATCTGATGCAAATACAGAAATGCACAATATATATCATATCTGAAATGCACAATACATATCATTCAGTCATTAGTTGGATAGAAGATACACAATTTCCCTTCAAGACATGAATGGTGAGGTGATTCAAGTTGTTACAAAGATACCTGAAGTTACCTGTTTGGTTTCCTGCTTCACTAGGTACTTGATTTTTGCAGCAACCATACCACCGACTGCAGCATGGTTGTGGTAGTTTCTGCCCAACTTGAACATATTACCTGGTATTTGCACAACGATGGCTTTGCAGCAGCTTTCTTACTAAAATTTAACAGGAAAGAAATTAACATTACCTATCTATGCACATGCACTCCTTTTTTTTCTATAAGAATATATTTTATCAGAATATGGGTTGTAAAAAATATATACTTATAAGAGTGTAGATGTACATATCGTAAGAAAGATTGAAGACATCATGACGTAAATTGTGATTTGATTCACTTGATATAGTTGCCGTCTCACCTCAAATTAACATAAGTTCACACAATGTGCGTTGCTTTTATCTGTTAAGTACACAATGGAGTAAATGTGAGATACCTTCACACCCCAACTGGATCAAAATATCCTTTATGCCATTGGACAATTAGTATCCTCCAATTAGCTTCTCTATTCAAAAGCCAATCAAAAAACCTTACAATTGTTTGGTTCTGAAACCAGTATTGTCCTTAAAGCTTGACTAAAGTTCTCTATTAGTCGGTCAACAAAGGGGTGTCTGGAAAACCCAAATAGTGAATAGTCTCAAATAGTGCGAATAGTCTGGAATAATGTGAATAGTCTCAAATAGTAACGAATAGTAGAGAATACTCCTGAATAGTGGAATGGCTGATCAATTGGAGTAATAGGCGCAGATAAATTTGACCAAGCAAGTTCTATGAAAAAAACAAAAAAAACAATAAGGTATGTCTTACGTTAGTTATCCAAAGAAGCAACAGAATAGCCCAATTCCAAGTTGCCACATGTTTGGAGTCTGGTTCCGAAATTACGGCATGTTAAAAAGTACTTAAAAGAGCATGACATTCAAATGAGTGATAGAGGTAAAGGGAAAAGCAAGGCAGAGTTGGTTGATTTGTGCAAAAAAGCATCAGAAATAAAGCAAGCAAATCTTGAAGAAACTGTCAAAGACTACAACAAGCTGCTCGAAGAGAAATTACAGATGAAGGATGGTAAACTGCCAGACCCAAAGACCTTAACAGCTTGGACCAAGAACTTTTTGGATATCTGGAGTTTACATTTGGAAATTTGTACAGTTATCTGGTGGGAAGAGCGGAATACTCTGAGGCAAAACTTCTTTCTTTTAAAAGTCTCTTGGGCTATAAGTTGTTTCATGATGGCTATATTACAGATTTGAGGTGTTGTCTCATAAAACAGAAAGTCATGTTTCTTTAAATTTAAAGTTAAGCCAATGGAGAGGGCAAAAACAGAAAATGGACAGACTACTTACAATGGTTTTATAATTTTGAAAGCTAGAGGAGAGGTTCACTCTGCTCATTGTCCCAGTAAAGGAGGAAGTGATGGCTGCTGTAGGCATGTAGCTGCTGTGTTATTTGATCTCCAGGTAACAGTAAGTAATAATTTAATGACCACTTGCACCTCTGGCAAATGTGAGTGGAAGAGAAGAAGAGGGAACAGTGAGTATGCCACGCCTTTGAAAGATTTAAATATTGTGAAGGCTGAGTTTGGCAAAAGTGACAAAAATCCCATAAAACCTCATGATTTTGATCCTGGACCGTCCTCTTTTAATCCTGTCTTAATGAGAAAGAAGCTAAGAGAGGGTCTTCAGGTTTTACACCCTGCGTCTGTAGAAATGCAGTTTCTCCTAAGCCTAAGGATTCAGTAATTCCAGAACAACTAGTGGCAGAATACAGTAGCAGTGATGCCAACGTTGAGAGATTTGAGACTGTGGAAAGTGTATCTGTTTATCCTATGAAAGAGTGTGCAGAAATGTTTAAATGTGAAAATAACATCAGCATCAATGGTGATATTTCTGAAGAGGTCAGAGAGTCATTTATGAAATCCCTGAATATTGATAAGAATCAGTGTGATGTGATTTCCTGCAAAGTTCTGGTATCTTCAGTGACGAGGACATATAACAGCCTCAAATGTCTCCTGTGTATGTCATATGAGGGAAAGTATGGAAAAACAAATATTGTAAAATTGTTAATGAACTACTGTCCCATGCAACAAGAAAAAAAAAGAAATAGAAAGAAAGAAAAAGAAATTGTTGCAGCTGAACAGTATCTGAAGAGAATCTCCAAAAAGCATAATGATGTAAGCCCTCTAGAATTATTCTCCATCAGAAATGGCGTTTTCTATGTACCAGCCCTGACAGGATTCGACACTGTAAATTTCATGGCAAGACACTTGTGGAATGCAAGAGCCTGTTTGCAAAATGGAATCTTTTGCCTGGAGTTGCAGCTTCAGAAAAGCTGCTTAAAACAACCACAGGCTTCAAGCTGAAAGAAGAAATATCCTGGTATTTCCAAATCCAGGGCCAAGTGGGAATTTCTGAAATTCATGCCACTGATCTAGTAATCTACACAAACAAAGACATTTAATTGTCCATGTGGTATTCATTGCAGAATTTTGGCAACATATTTTGGACAAGCTGCAACTGTTTTTTTCTAAGTTCATAGTCTCAGAGCTTCTCACTGGAAAATTTTGAGTGAAATTATGGCATAATTTCATTTACTGTAAATGCATAATGTATACATTTATATCTTGATAGACAAGTAGGTAAGGGAGAGTTTGCATAGAAGCTTTGTTTCACAGAGAACAAAATACACAATAATTTTAAAGGGACGATGTTAAGAAAATAGGAAACAGGCTATGCTTTAGAAGTATTGGGAAAGTTATATTGCCAGTGGCTTCAATAAATTACAAAGACCTCCACAGACTATCAAAATTTGATCAGTCAGTTTTGCCTGTGTAAGAGGCAGATTTCCCTGGAAGACCTTGAAGTCTTTTAATCTCTCTCTGGCCCTCTCCACGTGAATACGCACTCTTGCAATCTGGTGTGTAGACTTTGTTGCCACTCGTGACATTTGTTTTCCCCAAAAGTGAAAGTATTTTGTTGCAGAATTTAACATTTACCTATAATTCTACTTTCAGGGCCACACTACTTTCACTAACGTAATTGAGTTCATTTATTGAGTTTATTGTGTGATTCCAAGAAATATCTATAGCCAGCTCAAGGAAAGTCATTGGGAGTTCCAAGGGGAAGGGTTATCAACAGCCAAAATTTATAGGGGAAAGTATGAAGCTAAGCTGGAAATTTCAGGGTTGGGGGGTATTTAAATGTGAAATCCTTCCTTGGAGGAAGTATGGGTATTTTCTGGAACTGCACACTTGAGTTAAATCCAAGAGAGTATATATTTTAATAAACTGTGAATTTCTATGTGCACTCGTGCAAGTAAAAGAGATACGAAAGAAAATCCTACCTTTTTTGAAAAAGGGAGGTATGTTGAGATAAACCTTCTCCTTTGTTAATTAGTACCTCTGTTGGCCATTACAGAGTCCCCTTCCTCCAGCAGGTGAACCAACTAACTTTTTTGAGTAATTTTCCTATCTTTGGTGCTGCCAGTCCAGAATTTAGACAGAAAACTAAAGTACCCAGATGGGGTTATTCCAACTAAGACTTTCATGGTATTGTGTTATTTATACTCACTCCAAGTTTCTCTCTGAATATATGGTGAGGTTGGCTTCTCTATGAACACCTCTGTGCAGTCCATATTCGTATGTTTGGATACTTCTTGAACGAGTGAGGAAGATTTTTCTTACCCTCTTATTTACTGGGCCAAAGTACTAGGGTTTCCCTAAACAGAGTTACAAGGAAGCAAACCCAGGTGATAAAAATTCAGGTGATCTGAGCCTGGAAGATAGCTAATATATCAGTGAGTTGTCTCCCCATCAGACCAAGCCGCGGCCTCACAAGACATATCACAAATTCCTCAAGTACACCAATACTTCGTTTTGGCCCAGGGTTAGAAACAGGTGAAGTTTGGTATTTAATTTTTTCTGTTTTTGTTTTTATCCCAGTACTTTAGTTTTTCAGCCGATGGTGTGATCAAGTTCACCAGCATGTTAAAGCATCCTAATATTGGTATCCCAGTGTAAAACTTGAGAGAATCATCATTTTTCATGACATCCTCCAAAAAGAAATCTCTTTTCAATTTTGCTTTGTCTGACAGCGTAGCTTTCAGGCTTTTTATCCACTCTTCAAGCTGTTCAATATCAGGAATGGTAAAGTCAGTTTGACAGCTGACAGGCCTAGGTTTACCATCCTGAAAATTGCATTTTGAAGCTGGATCAATTTCATCATTTTCAGCCACAAAACAGTATGAATGATCATGATAAATGTCCCAGACATCTGCACCACTCCAGGCAACAACTAATTCAACCACTTCCACAGGATGGTTTTTCTTATTGATGGCAACACGAATGCTTGGCTCAGGTGTTTTGATGTCGTTCAGCCGTCGTTGTTTCTTTGTCACTGATTCATAGTGAACATCTCTTGGGACTTCTTTTCCACTTGTACGGTTTGAAAATTTTGGCACAGCTGACTCAATAACTTTACATCCACCATTTAATGTACTTTTTTAAGATTGCAGTAAAAAAGGTCCACTGCAAACCCTCAAGTTGTTTGGCTCACCTGCCTTTGCTTTCTTAGCTTCGAGTGCAAAATTTTGTCCGCTCTATGGCAGAATTTTAACCATTTATGAAGTCTTACATTTGATGGAAAAGCAAAATTGGAAAGATCTTGATGACTATGATTCCCATTTGTGCAGCAAGCAACAGAACAATAAACCATCTTATAAACAAAGTGATTAAGCAAGCATGAAATCTTCCTATAGAGCTTATATTTTTCGTGCCATCAGGCAACACTTTGAGCATAGCCTCGCTCTTGTGCCACAACTTCAGCACCAGGGCTCTGTCATGCGAGAACTCGGAAATGGGCAATTCCCCTCCTATCCTATGTTGCTGTGAGGTTGACTGGGACAAACTGGGTACCAAATTTTGGTATTTGTCATTATTCTCACACCTGTTTGCCACTATTTATCACTATATTTGTGACTGTTCAACCAGCCACTGACTTTTTAATCTGGGCAAAACTTCCTTCAATCACATTGCAATCTAAAAATATGTAAAGAATGAAGCATTTTCAAAAGGTTTGTTTTCAAACCAAAAGGAAATTTACATATGATCTTTTTCTGCTAACAACATGCTCAAACAACGTTCACACATTTCTGACTGTGACTCAGCTGAGTCAACTACACTGGACTCTTTTTGATCCAATGGCACCAGATAGTTGCAGTTATGTCACCAGTAAGAAAGAATTAAGAGTTACATGAGACTTACCTGTAAGTTGACATTTGATTGGAATTCTACAAGTCAATGGTCAGGAGCTAGGAAGTCATGTGAGATAGAGCACGGGAACCTGAGTAATCAGTCTTTAAATCCTGCGGGTGGACATATTCCCAAAACACAGTAATAGTTGGAGGGTGACAATATTAGGTCCACTTTTGGTAACTGCAGTAGGGTGGGTGTGAATTCCTAGCTCCTGACCAATGACCACAGAATTCCAATCAAACTTCAGCTTACAGGTAAGTCTTGTATAACTCTTAATTCTATTTGGTCATTGGTCTGAGTCACTAGTAAGTCACCTGATACTTTAAAGCAATGTAGACACAAAAAGATAGTAATAGCATTGGTATTAATGGGTGTGTTACCTGATTTTGCAGCCAAGGTGGAAGCAGCTCAGGTACTATGTGCACCAAAAATCTTGGTGTTAATACCAGCTGTCCCTAAGACATTCTTTACCCAGCGACTTATGGTGTATTGATTTACAGGTTTAAAAGGTTTACAATAACTTACCCACAAGGCATTATGTCCAGCTCCCACTGACTCTGAGTCATCAGAGCTCTTCATACTACTAACAGTAAGGGCATGGACAGTTTGACATTGCTGGCCAGAGAGCAGGGTAGCTAACATGACAGTCTTGAGTGTTGTGTTCCTGAAGTCAAACTGCTCAAGTGGGGATAAAGTTTGCAAGTAGTCCAGAACAATAAAAACATCCCAACTGTCTCTGTATCTTGGCAGCGATGGTCCTGTTTCAAAGACACCTTTCATGAAACAGATAGTCAGGGGTGATTTCCAAATGAACCAGCATCAGGAAATAAGTTAATTATGGACAGAGCACTCCTGGCTGTGTTAATTGCACTGTATGACAAACCACAGGCAAATTGGTCATGGAGAAACTCCAGCCCATCCTCTAAAAAGGGGATTGATATTCCTTGAACTGCATGATGTTTGCCATAAATTGCTCTTGGTAACAGCCTAGTTTTAAAACTTTACCTTAAATTTAAAAACACAACAAAATTTACCAGGTAAATCATCTTTGACTGAGCTTTTTCCATCGTTATCACATATAAAACAGTTCAATTCACCTTTCATTTAAATGTAAATGGGTCCTTGCTTACAGAGCAATTTCACTTGTTTGTACATGTATTCTTCACAACTAACAGGTGTGCTTAACTTTTGCTATTTTGCAGGAAGAAACACAAAATCTCTGTCGCCAATTAACAAACATCTTAGTCTGATCGCATCACCAATTTTGGACTAAATTAACAAATCCTTGAAGCAAGGTATTGTTGTGGTTAATTAACAAATTTTGTTCTTTGTTGTCATCTCCCGTGTGCATAAGGGCAAATTCAAACAGTTTAAATTGTTCTGGAGTTGTTTTTTGTTTCTTTCCTCTGTTACTGGTAGGAACAGACAGTGATACTGATCAAAGTTGCTCCCATTGGCTCAAGCAACAACACAATCCTCTACTTTGACTTCTTTGTAACATAGATCAAACTTGCTCGACGGCTAGAAACTTTTCTCATTGAACTTTAGTTATTTTCAGATACAACTTGAGCAACTGAGCCCAGAACTTTAGTATTTGACCTTGAACTATTACTTGTTAACACTTGTGAAACGTGTCTCGAGCACTCACCCAATAAATTGGCAAGTTTTTGAAGAAGTTCCCCCATTTTGTTAGTTGAAAATGGTGGGAGAAGCTTTTGGAAACAGATTCCTGGATGTACGAGATGCTTTGCATATAGTCGAAATTGAATTGAACTTTAATTTCATTGCATTTACCTTGAATTTTATTGAATTTAAAATTGAAGTTTGGTATTGAATATTGCCACAATTGGCTTGCCATAGAAATCTCCACTGAATTTCTTTTGAAAAGGAAAAACTTTAATAGGTACTCACGAAGGGGCTTTTCAGCATCTATATACATAGCTTCATTAGATCAATAATATAAAAAACTAATGACTATTTACATTAATATCACTAATTATATCAAAACTAATAACTGTTTGCAAGAATGTGACTCTTAAGCTTCTCCTTCAATGCCTTTAGGGAGGCACACTGTCTTAATTCAGGAGATATATTGTTCCAGAGCCTCGTCCCTCTAAAGGCAAAGGACCACTGACCAGACGCTGACCTAAAGAATGGAATCTGTAGAGCTTCACGATTTCGTGTCCTACGATTATGAATGTCCGATCTCTTAACAAACTTACTACTCAAGTAACTAGGGGCAAGATGGTTCATGCATTTATAAGTCATGACAGTGGCTCTGAAAAATAAAAGCTGATCTACAGAGAGCCAGTTTAGTTCGTGTAATAGAGGGGTCACATGATCGAACTTTCTAGTCTTAGTAACGATTTTACAAGCAAAGATTTGCACTAGTTGTAACTTCTTGATGTTGGTTGTAGAAGTATTGGACCACACTATCGAACACTACAGCATTTTACTAAAGACTAACAATGATACTAATTGTTCGAGCGTTTTCCCATCAAAACTATTTTTTACTCGCTTGATCTGGCATAGTTTTGCCATACAGGAGGACACAACATTGGAAATATGGCAGTCATATGTGAGGTGAGAATCCAGGGTAACACCTAAATCCTTTGCTGATGCAACTGGTTCTAAGGACTTGTCCAGAAAAGACACCACAGGAGAAGAGGAAAACCTCTTCCTCAGCTGCCTAGTTGCGATGAGCATAAACTTGGTCTTGTTTGGGTTCATCAACAGCTGATTTTCACAGCACCGAGCTGCGACTACAGTAGGGCTTGTTCTAGGTTTGCAGTCGCTGTGTCTACGTCAGGTAAAGAAAAGGACAGGAAGACCTTGGAATCATCAACATATGGTTTAAGACCACACACTTGAGGCATGCAAGGCAGATCATTTAGATAAATGGAAAATAGCAATGGTGAGAGAATTGCCCCCAGAGGGACTCCGTGGTTGATAGGCAGGGGATCTGACAAGATGGAATTAATCTGAACTGACTGTGATCGGCCCATTAGATAGCTTTTAAACCAGTTCACTACATGCAGAGAAGCTCTGACAGACGAGAGTTTAGCAAGCAGTTTATTATGATTCAAGCTGTCAAAAGCCTTTGTAAGGTCTAACAGGGTCAAAGCGGTTAAGTTCTTCTTGTCCATTGCCTCCAGGAGGTGGTCTGCCATGAAGAGGCTTAAAGTCTCGGTTGAATGAAGTTTCTTATTTCCACTCTGGTGAGAAGAGAGTCTACCATTGCTAAAAAGATATGCACTAAACTGATTGAGAACAACCTTGTCACATACCTTGGAAGCAACAGCGAGTAGTAGTAGCAAGTAGTACTTCATGGTCCCCTTCCTTAAGTAAAGGAATCACTTCCGCCAATTTCCATGCATCAGGATACTTAGCAGACTCGAGAGAAGAGTTTATAATCCCCGTAAGGGGACTCAAGATGACAGGAAGACAATCCCTGTAAACTCGGGTATGTATTTTGTCAGGGCCTGGAGACTTGTTTAGTGGCAAAGATGAAATAATGTGTCATACCTCTTCACATGACACACGCTTAAAGTAAAAAAGATCTCCAGCAGGCAGTGATGGTAACTGCTGCTCTGACCAAGTGATGTTATCAATTTCTGCAAGAAGACTGGTAGCGAGGGCTGCAGTCTTACCAACTGACGTAAAAAACACATTAAACTCATCGGCAACTGTCTTCAGGTCTTTGGTATAAACTCGTTGAGGCTCTTTGTTCTTTGATGGAATAACGCGATTGATTACTTTCCAGAGTGAACTAGGATTGCTCTTGTTTTGTTGAACTTCAAGAAAAGTATAATTCTGCTCTGTTTCTTTTAGTATTTCTTTGATGGTATCCCTGGATTCTTTATATTTACTCCAATCCGAGGGGTTGCGAGACTGAAAAAAATTGTAGTGAAGTAGGTCTCTTGTTTTCATGAGTTGTTTAATGCCTCGATACAATTGGACAAGGGCGATGGCAAATCCTGGTTGTTCTGACGGGAGTATGCAAGTCCAACGTGCTTCCAACAACATCATTGAGTGTTAAGTTTGGTATCCACATCACCGCAGCTAAAGATGGACAAGAGCTGGTCTGATTGGTTAGCAAGATCAGCAGTAAATGCGCCCGGCTCATAGTTCTTATAACTACGTGCTGTTATGTAGTGGGGCGAAGGCTTGGGTGCTTTCACCTTAAGCTCTACAAAAGCTGGCAGGTGATCACTGATGTGGTAGTTGATCACGCCGCTACTATGTACCGACTGAGGGCAGGATATCAAAATAACATTGAGCAAGGACTTAGTTGTAACTGTAATCCTTGTTGGATGCTTAATGAGTTGTTGAAGATTCATTTCAGACGAGAAATTGTTTAACGCTCTGCTCTCCGTGCAGGCTTTCCTTAGATCACAGTTTAAATCCCCAAGGATCACGATGGGTTTGTTAAGCATCAGTGCTTGCATGTAAGTAGGTTTCAGGGTATCCTCAAAAGCACTTAGGGGGCAGTCATCTGGTCGGTAGGTTGTACACACTACAATTGACTTTATTTTCTTCCACTGAAGACCTATCCAGAGTTGGTGGAAATTTCTCTTTGAAATTGATAAGAGGTCTTTTAAAACCTTAGCTTTCAAATTATTGCGAGTATAGACACAAACGCCTCCCCCTCCCATGTGGAGCCGATCAAGTCTTGAGAGCTTGTATCCTTCCAAGTTCACCTCCAGGAATGAAATGTTCGTGTTCAGCCAGGACTCAGAGATGGTAATAACATCGAATTTACCTCTTTTATTCAGTTCTTTAACTTCTTTGCCTTGCTATTTTTAGCAGGGTCATCTTCCTCGAACAGGACACTCTTCAATGCCAGGTTGAGGGGTGGATCTAGACAAAATGTTTTCTTCTGATAGATCACCATTTTAGTGGCATGCGTGGTATTCTTGCTGTGGGGAGTCTCTTCATTCAAATCATTATTACTCACGGCAAACTGAACAAATATACTAGGCTTGATGTTAGTTGATATTACAGACCCAAACGCTTCTACCTTAGCAAGAACTTCCTCTGCAATATTCATATTCACTCCCTGCATCTTGTCACAGAAAATACAATGTCCCACTCTGTTAAAGGGAATCTCAGTTGGAAACAGTTTTTGCCAACATAGAAAGTTATCTTCTGACAAAAACAGGCTTAGTGGTTTAAACTTTTAATTTCACCCCTTTTGCAAACGCTAAGGCGTCAATATTCGCCTTTTTGTGCTTTCAAATTTCCTGGTTGCCACCATGTTTAACTGTCACAAAGTTAGCTGGAAGATTATGACATCACTGAGTTGTTGGTGTTCAACATGGCATCCAAAGGTGTTGTCATTGCTGAATGACAAACTAGGCTGGTCCATTTTAGACAACTTTATTCGCAAGTTTTACATTTACAACAACACCACTTTGACTGCTTACATTATTACAAACTCAAATTATCTCACACAGGTGCATGCAGCCCCTGGCAACAAGGTGGCTTGTAATTTGTAACACAGCAAAGCAGTTAGAGATGAAAGTGCAGGAAGCGGAAGGGACAGGTGTTCACAAATGGTATGTGTGCTTGAGTGGTAGAAGTTTATGGGCTACATAGAATTGGATTATTTTTGTTGGACACAGTGTTTAATTTTTCTTTGTATTATCGGAGAGACCCACAAAAGAAAGATTAACATGCTGGGGTTCTTTTGGTAAATTGGACAATGGTCATCCAATAGCTGCCAACCACTTTTTGCATATTTCACCTTCAAGTGGTACTCAATGAAATGACATGAAAGGATTACGCTTGTTCTTTATGGCACGTTTTTAGTGTCAAACTCCAAAACCTTGTATCATACTTGCTATTTTTCTATTCAAATATTCAATCCTGTGATTAAAACCTGGAGCTCTTCCATCCAAATATGATATCCTTCTATTTTAATTTCCAGTTCTTCAATCAAAGTTCTTGTTTGACAATTCAGATGTGCTATTTGGTTATTGAAACATCCATTGTTTCAATTCAAAGCAACATTTCTTCGATTCAGTTATGCTCTTTTTCTATTCAAACGTGTAATCCTTTGTTTTAAAAATGTTTTTTCACTAGCCAAACATAATCTAATTCAAACGTGCTATTGTGCATTTCAAATTTTCAAGCTTACAATTCAAAATAGTCAGTTCTGCAAGTAAAAATGCTATCCTTTTATTCTTTGTTTTAAACCACATGACTAAAATTCACTACGTCATACAAGGCCGCTATGTTAGGGAATAACTAAGCCTTCAAAATGGCTTCTTCTGAAGGCATGCCCGTTGTGAACCTTCAGTATTTGGATTATTGTGTGGGTCAGGAGGGTCCTGCGAAGTCAAGGTACCACAAAAAAATAACTGTTTGTGGCTTCAACCCATATGCATCGAGGAAAAGTGATTTCCCTGAAAACATCGAACTCCTACCGAACATTCAATATCCAGAAATTGTCAAGTACTTGGTAGTGAAAACCTCATGGGCTACAAAAACCCAAATGAAGGCCTACAAATCGATGGAAGCGTACCATTTCTTTATGTTTGGATGGGTGAATACTCTGTATGTGATCTGTTGATAGCGATAAAGTTGTCACAGAGACAATGGGACACCCCACTTAGAACATGTTTCTGGCAGAAAATGTGGAACTGTAATTGCTGCCCATTGTGATTGCATGGGAGGGTTAAGTGAAGGGTGTTCTCATGTTGGGGCAGTGCTGTGGAGGCTGATGTTAGAATTAGCGATTCTACCACATGCACACAGGAAAAGAACAAATGGCTTCTCCCTAGTCATATGAAAGAAATCTGTACAGTAAAAGCAGTCTTGTCCCTTGTCACACCTTTTAATGAGAAGTATACTTGTAGAGAAATTGACAATGTACCCAAGCCCTTGCCCAATAGCTTGTTTAAAGAAGAGTTTATGCTGTTAGACTTCATGGAGTTGCTGCAGCAGTGTCAACAAATATCGCTTTAGATTACACCTGATGAGTGTCGAGCAATAGAAGCTTCAACCAGAAAGCAGTCAAAAAGTAAAGTTTGGAACCAACAATGGTAGGTCTTATTACTGCTTCCAATCTAAAAACTGCTTGTAAAACAAATACAGCTAAGCCTGCTAAGAGTCTTGTTAAGTTCATATGCTACCCTGAAGCCCATAAGTTTTCAACTGCGGCAACAGGGTGGGGTTGTAAACATGTAAAGCTTACCAGATAGAAATCAATCAATTTCACAAGTCTTTGACAATTTCTGACGGTGGTCTCAATATTGATCCAAGGTGGCCATACTTAGGAGCTTCTCCTGATGGGACTGTTGACTGCAGATGCTGTGGGATAGGTGTGAGTGAAATAAAATGTCCATATACTCACAAGGATTCCACAATTGCAGAGGCTGCTGGCCAAAACAACTTTAGTTTAAAGAAAAATGAGTTTGGTAAAGATCATCTTGACAAAAGTCGTGCCTACTACCACTAAGTTCAAGCCCAGATATTTATCCGTGGAGTTGAATATTGCGATTTTGTGGTGTAGACAACAATAGATCTCTTTGCGGAGGGAATTCTTCCAGACCAAGAGTTTTGGAAAAAATGCACTCTCTGTTTCCTCTGAGTTGTTCAGCAAGTGCATCTTGCCTGAAATCGTAGGAAAGTGCTATACATGCCCAGAATGTGAAGCTCAAGCCAGTCCATCTTCATCAACATTGTCTGGTGATGAAGAAGAGGATGGGCCGTGGTGCCATTGTCAACAAGATTTGGAGGGCAGCACATTAATTGGCTGTGACAATGATTTGTGCCAGATAAAATGGTATCATATGTCATGTTTGAAGTTGAAAGAAGAGCCCGAAGGAGACAGGATCTGTCCAACTTGTCATAGAAAAAACTGACTGAGCAGTCATGATTGAAATGTCAAGTTTATTCAATTGTACCACTACCACTAAAATATGACTTATTATAAACACGAAGTAGTCGTAATTGTTTTCGTATAAATTCTGATTTATTCCACTCTGATATCGTACAGAAAAGAACCTTTCGAGTTAAATCACACGCCCCTAATATACACACTAAATTTGATATCCTACAATTGTTGTCATGTGCTCTCTTTGTACAAACAAAACGAAAAGCGTGACGACTTTGATTACATAACAAATACGCGTGACTGTTTATGACACTCCCCCTAGTTGATCACCTTAGTGTGAGTCAACTATATTCGCTTTGAAAAATAAACTAAGACTATATTTGTTATCGCAAAGTTCGTTGTTTCTAAATGTTCGCGTTATTTACAAGTGTGAGGAAATAAATCTAAATACGGCAACGTTTAAGGTTCTCAGTTCAGTTCAAGAGTTCACCTCAAGAGGAACAACGTGTTGAATGGGTCGTCGCAATCGCTGAATTGAACTACCATTGGTACTCGTAACTCTAACTGAAACTGCTCGCACCTTTCCATCTCGGCCCGGGTACAATTCTTCTACTTTCGCAAGCTTCCAGAAGCTTCGACGAACGCTGTCATTTTTGAGAATAACAATGTCTCCAACCTTGACCCCTGTATCGCCATTGTCTCCCCTTAGCCGTGCGTTCTTGATAGCATGTTCTCTTAAGCTGGTTAAATATTCATTTCTCCATTGACGAGTGAATTGTCCCAACAGATGTCTATGATGTTTAAGTCGCTTCGTCAGAGAATCGTAGGTGCTAGTGATTTCGAAATGTTGACTGTTCGGAGTTGTAGTAACTCTTCGACCATAAATCAGATCCGATGGCGTTAAGGGATACGAGATCGATTCCTCGTCGTCATACACATAAGTCAGCGGCCTTGCGTTGATCAGCCCTTCTATTTCCGTTAACAGAGTACTTAGCTCCTTGTGGGTGAGGGTAGATTTTCAGATGGTTTTTTGGATAGGAGACTTTACGCTGCGAACGAGCCTTTCCCAGTAGCCTCCCCACCACGGCGCCTTTTCCACAATGAAATTCCAACTGATTTGATTGTTGGTTAAATATCGCCAAACTTCCGGTGACCGTAATAATTTGCGAATATCCTTGCTTGATGATTTGAAAGTTTTTGCATTGTCCGATTGAAGATTAGCCGGGAGTCCTCTTCTACTGGTGAATCTTCTGAAAGCAAGCAGGAAATCTTGGACACCGAGTCCACGGGTCAACTCTAAGTGCACTGCATGGGTTGAAGCGCATGTAAATAAACACACGTAAACTTTGACACATTCAGCGTTGTTGACGTTTTCCTTTACGTAAAATGGCCCAGCGAAGTCGATTCCAACATTAGTAAAAGGTGGATCGTCTGAGACTCGGTTGGTTGGAAGATCAGCGAACGGTGGAGGTTTGCATGGTGCTGCATCGAATCGTCGGCAGACAACGCAGTGTCGAATGATTTTCTTGACTGTCTCGCGACCGCGTAGAATCCAGAAACGTTCTCGTAAGTTCGTAAGCGTGTCCCTTATCCCAGAATGCTTGACTAAATCGTGAATATTCCTAATAGTGAGATTGGTGAAAGCGTGTTTGGCAGGCAAAAGTATCGGGGTTCTGGCAGAAGACGATAGGGAAGCATTTGCGATCCGTCCTTTGCATCTGATAATTCCATCGTCGTCGAGAAACAGTCCCAACTGCGGAACACGTATAGGTGGCGTTGATTTCGAATCCTTTCGAGTCAGAAAAGAAAGTTCATCGGTAAAAGACGATGCTTGAACCGAGTGTATCCACAGATTCTCGGCGTCCTTCAATTCGGTGGTTGTTAAATCTTCCATTTCTTCTTTCCGGTTTTCAAGTGTTCGGTTTTTGAGCTTGTTGATGAACTTGATCACAAACGCGGTTACTCGAATTAATTTCGTCCTGTCGCTGAACCGTCCAATGTCGATTATCTGGTCAACTTTCGGGTTGAATTTGTCGCAGGCAGTTGTAATAAGGGAATGTGTTACATCTGGTACGTTCTTGACGGCTTCCTGTAAAATTTGTTCTTCGTTCACTTGTTCCGATGGAGAAGTTTCGGGCCATTCATTCTCGGATTGATACAAAAAACTCGGACCATTCCACCACGTATTGCTGGCAGAAAGTTCTTTCGCTGATAGTCCACGCGATGGTAGATCGGCAGGATTTAATTCTCCTGGACAGTGCCTCCATAAATCTTTGGGAGTTAGACGTCGAATTTCTTCTACTCTTTGACCAATGTACTGCTTCCATACTCTTTCATTTTTGATCCAGCATAGAGCAGTTGTAGAATCACTCCAGAGAACGATTGTGTATTCAGCTCCAATCGACTTTAACTTGTTAACAAGTCGGGCCAAAATTAATGCTCCTAGTAATTCCAATCGAGGAATTGTCTGTGCCTTGATAGGAGCGACTCTCGATTTTGAAGCGACCAATTTAACTTCGATTCGACCATCACTGTACGTGTTTCGAATATAAACCACCGCGGCGTAGGCGCGTTCTGAAGCATCACTGAAGCCATGTATCTGAGAGGTTACAGGTTGTCGCGAATAATAGCATCGAGGAATACGATAGCCGCCAATGAACTTCAGATCTTGGAGAAACGATTTCCATCGGTGAAGCAAAGTTCCTTGTAATTCTTCGTCCCAGTTTGTTTTGTTGATACAAAGTTCTTGAAACAAGATCTTCATCTCTATTGTTAGAGGCGTCAAAAATCCCATGGGGTCGAAGATCTTGGCCGTAACCTTGAGAACAGATCGCTTGGTGAGGGGAAGTGCTTGTGCAAATGGGCACAGATCGGAGAAATTGAAGAAAATTTCGTCTGTGAGAGTGTTCCAGTTCATTCCTAGAATTTTAACTACTGCATCTTCGTTGTCAGAAGTCGTTGAGTCACAACCAACACTCGATTTCGCGAATGATTCGTCATCTTCTTTGTTGACATTAGTGACCTCCTGTTGTGTGTTTGCTGATCCTGGTGAACTTTCAAGTTTCGTAATTTGCATTTGTAGTTTTTGCGAGTTCGATCGCCATTTTCTGAGATTGAATCCTCCACTGGATCTCGTGTACGGTTGCATCTCTTGTAAACAGAGAGACCTCTTTCTTCGTCTGACTCCCCCGTTAACAGGTCGTCCACGTACAGAGATTGTTCTAATAATTCAGCGATTTCGGGGTCACTTTGTTTGTGTAGTTGTAAGTGATGTAGAATTGTCGCTCCCAAAATAGCAGGCGAGGGGCGTAACCCAAACACGAGCCGTGTGAACCTGTATTGTACAATTTCAGGCTTAACGCAATCTGGGTTTCTTAACCATAAGAATCGAAGAAAGTCTCGATGATCCTCTTGGATTCCCACCATAAGGAAGGCCTTTTCAATGTCAGCTGTGATACCGACAGGATTCTTCCGAAAGCGCGCTAGCATATTGAAAACATGTGGGATGTGATTTGGCCCAGTTTCAAGGCAATCGTTGAGTGACTTCTCTTGGTTACCAGATTTTGCTGACCCATCGTACACAATTCGTACCTTCGTAGTCTCACGATCCTTTCTTACTACTGCATGATGAGGCAAATAATGATGTCGCGCAGCAATTTTCTCTTTATTAGGTACTTGCTCGATTATCCCCTTTGATAACTGGTCTTGAATGATGTTGTCGTATTCGGCTAATAACTCTGGGTCTTTGCGCAGCTTGTGATGTAAGGATCTTAATCGCGATTCGCACAACAGATAGTTGTTGGAGGATAGCGGCAAACAATTTTCTTTCCACGGTAAATTGACTTCGTATCGATCTTCGCTCCATGCAACGTCGATTTTGAAAGATTCCTTCGTTTCCTGTTGAGTCAGATCCTTAATGCCAATTGCCTCAGTCTCCCAAAAGTTCTTCAGAGTGTTCGTGAGAACGTCGTCTTCGTTTCGGGCAAATAGGTCGTCATGGCCTTCGATTATTTGAATGTGTAACATAACTCCGATCGAGTGTTCCTTTAACTGGTCCAGACAGCAGCCACCCGAGTTTGCTATTTCATGGTTCGTACGCTTTTGACTTTCTGACATTCCATGACTTTCCATGACTTTTTCCATGACCTTTTCCGATTTTCCATGACCCAATTGTTCAAATTATTTTTCTCAATATATACTTACAGTACCATCAATTCGTTTTTTCCTTGCATGTTAACCAAATTGTAGAAAAGAAGAAGATGCTAAGACCAGTTAAATTCATACGTATAACACGGAATCTTTATTTCCGTGCAACAAAATGACACAAGTGCAACAACACGACGTAAACAGATACTTTTTACTAAA